AGGCTCACCTCAAAGAAGTCTCCATTGTTGTGGATGTCTCTGCCAAGGAATTGGATTGTCTGGCCAATTCCCAATGCGCCGGTTGGTCGTAGTAGTCATGCTTTTGTACTTCCTTGAAAGTCTTGTCGACTTCTTGTTGTTGTCCAAGGAATAGTAGGTCATCCACATAGACCATCACAAACATTGTCTGTTCATTGTTCCTGTACACGTTGGGTTCACTTGTGAGTCGAGACAGTCCCAATTGTTGCAGGACTTGTGCAAAGTGATCTTGCCAAGATTTTGGACTTGATCGTAGTCCATAGATTGCTTTGTTGAGCCTCCACACTGTGGTTGTGTTGTGACCACTTGGGTATAGTTCTGGTGGTGGCCACATGTAAAGATTGTCTGTCGCTGCTGGTGCATGTAGGAATGCTGTTGACACGTCTCCTGCTTGTATCGTCCAGTGGTTGCGCTGCGCCATTGTCAGTAGGATGCGCAAGATCCCAAAGATTGGTGTGCTCGCATAGATGTTGTCAAGGTCTTGGATTGTTTCCAGGAAACCTTTTGCTACTATGCGACATCTCACTTCCTCTTGTTTGGGTTTGTTGACCCACTTGGATTCTATGATCTTGTTCTTGTGTTCTTCTGGGACATCATTGTAGTTCATCTCTGTGAACACTCCTTGTGTCTTCATCGATTGTGCTTCTTTCTTCATTCCTTGTTGTACTTTCAATGGATCAAGACCTTCATTGTCGTAGACGAAGGGTTCTTGTAGCATCCTTTCCACTTCTGCTTCTTGTTCATCTTCACAGGATGCTGTGGTGATCTTGTCATCTTTCTTTGTGGTAATCGTCACTGCTTGTATTCTCATCTTTGCTTTTGGTTGTTCTTCGTCTTGTCCTCTATTTGCTGCTGTTGAGGACTGCGCTGTCCTCGATTGTTTGGATTGTGCTTCACCTGTAGGCTCCTCGTGTTGTCGCTTGCTTGCTGGTGGTAATGGCAGTGGTGGTCTTGCCATTGTTGTTGGTGAAGTTGCCAATGGTGATGTTGCCATTGTCGTATCCATTGGCTGATGTTGCATTGCTTGTGTTGGTAGTGCAAGTGGTGTCTCTTGTACTGTCTGTGTGCTTGTATCTTCCACTGTAATGTCAGCTTGTGTGCCGATCGCTTGTCTGCTTGTGGTGTTGTCAGCTGGTAGAAGCAATTGTGGCGGAATTGCCATTGGTGTTGTTGGCAAGTTCCATGGATACACGTTAATGGTATCCAATAGTTGCTTGTCGTACTTGTCTGGCATGATCTGTCTTCGAATTGTTCTTGCCTTGATGACCTTGCCAGGGATGCCGACTATTGACCCTCCAGTCATTGTATCCCTGCCAAGCCAGATTCCTTTGAAGAATCTTGGCTCCATCTTGGGTTGTGCTTTTGTTGTTGGTATCATGTATTGTACTGTTTCTGCCATCTCGCATAGTGGTGCTTTGTGGTCCTTCTGCCATCGTCTTTGGTAACTTGTTTGTCCATCATTGTGCATGGCATACCTGTTCAGTAGCCAGGCTGCACGCCGTACAATCCACGGCATGACCGGATGTTGCACGCTCAGTGTGAGGTTGTAGCTTGTGGTCACTTGTTGTACCAGTGCTCGGACTTGTCCCATCAAGGTGCGATGGAATCGTTCAATGCTTCCTTGTGATTGTGACGAGTATGCCGGTGATTGTCGGATGTTGACGTTGTTTCCGAGCTTTTGTGCAACTGTCTTCAACAGGTTCTGTATGTATTCTTCTTGGTCTGATTGTAGCGTTGTTGTGGATAGGGTTGCTTGTGCTCGTCCACATTCAAACATGAATGTTTGTAGACATCGTGTCAGGTATTGTTGTTGTTGGTTCTTGTCTTGTACAAGAACTGCCATTGCCATACCTGATTCGACATCTATTGCCGTAAGTACTGGTAGTACTTGTTTGTCTCCAAATGCCTTCATGTAGGTGAAGTCCACTTGTATCACTGGTTGTTTGCTTGCTTGTTTTGGGTGATTGTCTGTTCTTCCTTTGCTCTTGACACATATTGGGCACCATGAGCGATATGGTAAGTGTGTCAACTCATGTTCTAGCCTCTCTTGTCTTGTTGGTTGTTGTGGCGCCTTCATTCCTTTGGCGCGTTGTGCTTGTTGAGATTCATCTTCATTGTCCGCGTCGTACTCGTACTTGTACGTCGCTTCTTCCTCAAAATTTGTTGATCCTGTCCATTGTCTGTCAAGCTGTCTTGCTCCTGATTCCTGCCAATTGTCATGGATTGTGTATCCTCTTCCTTGTTCCGTCCTGTTCACGAATGTTGTCCGTGTCGGTTTGAGTCGTCCAATGTCTGGACCATCATCTGTCTGTTGTGGTACGTACATTGTTGTCCGTGCTTGTACGTGAACTCGTTTCCAATAGTGTCCTTCTCTGATCCAGTAGTCTGTTGTTGGTGTCATTGTTGATGGATCAGGTACTGCCGTGGTTGTTGGTGCTGGCTTCTTCGTTGTGTGTCTGTATAGTGGGTCTCTGCTGACCTGCCTTGCTGTCCCGTCTTGTTCCGGGAGTTGTATTGCTGTTGATTGTTGTCGCATTTGTGGTGCCTGTTGTGCTTTCTCTGTTGTCTCTGTTGTCTTCGATGTTGTTGTCAATGGTTGCGCTGGTGGCTTGTTCACTCTAAACCATGTCTCTCCTGTCCACGTGTCTCCTTGTATCACTCGTCGTTGTTCGTGTTTGCTCGAGTCATGGTATTGTTCAACAATGTCTTCGTTGTTCCCGTCTGTTCGTCGAATGATTGTTCGTCTGTAGTTGCTCAATGTCTCCAGTGGCACTGGGCAATTGTTGCCAGGAACAAAGAGAGCTTTCCTCTTGTTCCGGTGATACCGTACAAGGTATCCTTCATTGTTGTAGTTCCAACAGTCGCTATTGCCTCCAAGAACTTGTTGTGGTCCATGTCTTGTCAGTGTTGTTGGGGCAATCATTGCAATCATGCCCTTTTGTGTATGTCTCAGCTGTAGTTGTTGATGTTGTCCCAGGTTCATGACTGTTGCTGGCAAGTAGTAGAGGTTGCGCTGCTGCACCAAGGGAACATTGAATCCCTTGTCATGGCGCATTGTTGGAGCGTCGTTGAACCTGATGTCAAAGCCTTGTTCTGCCAGTCTTGTCACTGACAGGATTGGGTCATGGATGTCACACACATAGAATGGTATGACAATTGGTTGTCCTCTTGATTGCATGTAGACCCATCTCACGCCGTAGCATTGTATTGTCTTGTTCGTCACTGTCCTGAGGTTTGGGCTTTGTGCTTGGTCGATCTTGTACACTGGATAGTTGTCTGCAAACCATAGTGGGCAGACATGTGTGGCCGCTCCACTGTCGATCATGATGTGCATAGTGTCTGTTGTGCCGCTGCTTGTGGTATCTGTCTTGTAGTCATTGCCATTGCTGATCATGGCGATGACATGGATTGGTGTCGTTGCCGGTGGATGGAATTGGTGGTAGTGCCAATGGTTGTTGTCCTTGGTATTGCCGTGTGTAGTCCTGAAGGTGCCATCCATTGTCATAGTAGTCATCGTACCATTGTGCTGTCGCATCTTCAATGTCATTGCTTTCTCCTTGTCCAATGTTGTGTATTGCCACTCGGCAATCTTTGGCATAGTGTCCTGTTCTTCCACATCTGTAGCATGTATCTGTTGCTTGTTTTCCTTTGTTCTTTCCTTTGCCTTTGTTGTATCCTTTGCTGAATCCTTTGTTTCCTTTGTTGCCTCTTCCGAGTGGATTGCCAAAGCCAATCGGACTGTTGTTGTAGTTGTTGAATCCTTTTCCTCCATACTTTCCTTTTCCTTTGTGGTTCATGTTGTAACTGTTGTATCCGTAGCCGTTGTATCCTCCGTAGCCTTTGCCTTTGTTCTTTCCTTTTCCTTTTCCTTTGTAACCGTTGTACTTGCCTTTTCCTTTGTGGATTGCATCAATGTCCATGGGTGCTTGTCCTCCACCGAAGCTTGTTGCTACACTGGATGATTGTGATCGTAATTGTTGTAGTTTGCTGAATGCTGTTGTTGATCTGTAGTACTCGATGATTGTTTGTTTGACTCGTGCATAGTTTGGGCTTTGTCCTGAAAGCAGTTGTAGGTGTTGTTGTAGTGGTCCACTTGTCTCATTGAGCAGTACGGCAATCTTCACGGAGTCTGGGAGTGTTTGCGCTCAATCTTTGTAGCTCAAATTCCCATGTGGAAAATGATTCTTCGAAGTTGTTCTTGTCAAACGTTGGTTTCAACAATCTTGTCAAGTGTCAAATGGATCTTGTCCCCAATGGGATGGAGAAGCGGATGCACAGTTGTCTGTACATCTCGAAGCCAATTGTGTGTTGGTATTGTCTGCATACTGTGGCTGCTGCTCCAGTTGTTGTGTTGATGAGGATGTACCTCAAATCAGTGCTGAGGCGAACATGTCGTTCACCGTCTTCGATTGTTGATGCCGCTGCTCGTAATTGTAGCTCTGTGAGTTCTGCTGTGCCTCGTTCTGCTGCTTGTAGTAGTTCTGTGTAATCATTGTCTTGCAATCCCATGTATGCTGTGAACTTGTACTTCCATTCCTCGAACGTGCCATAGTCTCCATTGAAAAAAGGTGGTTTGAGTTTGTATCTGTTCATGTTTGCCATGTTGGTGATTGTCTCGTCTTCTGGAACTGGAGGTAGGCCATCTCCAGCTTGAGCTGCTGCTGGTTGTGCTGCCATTGTTGCAGCTGTGCAAGCTACCTGTTGTAGGGTCAAGGCTTGCTCTCCGTTGTCTGTGTTTGTGTGCTTGTTCCTGTTGTTGTATTGGAGCTCACCTGGATTGTTGTTACCAGGATCCTTGCTCCGCTACCATGTAAAATTCAGCAGCTGTTTGTTTGTCGTTTGTTTGTGCACGTCTCTGTATTGTTTTCCTCTTCAGCTAGGCTGGGCTCAAGGCCTTTGATCCAAGGTGCATTGTACAGCACCGTGCAGTTGTACATCAACACTACGATGGAGTAAGTAAGCTATTGTGAAAAAGCTTGTCTCTTAACAGCTCCCTCGCTCCCTCGCTCCCTCCCTCCCTCCCTCCCTCCCTCGCTCGCTCTCTCTCTCTCTCTCTTTTCAATGCGCCAATGCCAAGCCACATATTCTTTGCCTCTCGGTGGGCACCAGCCACGGCCAAGAAATCGTTCTTTCTTCCCTTCAGGCCATGCTTTGTAGCGTCCGAAGTCCCTATCATGGGTGTAGGATACCTTGCTCGCATGATCGAAGGAGCCGGTTGCCAGAGAGGCAAGTAGCATGCTACCGGGTTTGAATACAAGGCCCCCGTGCCAACTACCGCTAGTCTCCTTCGCAAGTGCCCTGCAAGACACAACAATCAACTATGTGGATTATCTGGATCCACAAACCTCTCTTGTTCCCGGAATCAGACCTTGGAGTGTCTTCTTCTCCCGAGTCTTCATCCCTTGATCTTTCTAATCAATCCAGGCGTCGCAGCGCTCATCGGGCTTGGCCGCTTCGCGCTGGTGAACCTTGATACTTTCCTGCCAACTCAACTGGGAAAACACCTTCGCTCTCCGAAGCAAAAAGAGTGCAAGCACGATGCGAGCGTGCAAACAAAGCTTGGTCTGCGGGTCTTGCGCTGGTGGAGGAGGAAGAAGAAGAAGCAGGAGAGGGAGACAGGAAAAAACGAGATACATACAGTAAGGCTCAGGCTTTGTTTCGTGTGCTATCAGCCACCTACATTCCCCACAAGCAGCAACGTTGAAAATTATATATATAATATATATGCAAAAACACAGACCGTGATGCGTGCTTAGGCTTGTGCCACTCCTTGGAATGACGGTAGTTGTAGGAGTATGACCAAACCACCAGGTTCCTTGGCTGGGGCAAGCCAGGAACAATGTGGCCACGCCCTAAGCTTCAAGACCTCTCCAAACCCAGGTAGGCCTTTCAAGGCGGCAAAAGATTGCCATGACTCCGTGACCTGGTGTAAACTCCAAAGAAACATCAATGTCTCAAGCTCAAAAGGTTTGAGCACTCTCCATCTGTCCATCGATATTTCAACTCAACATCTTCAACCTGTGTGGAGGTTTGTAGGGCTCGGCTCTGCTGAGTCTCAAAGGCAGAAAAACCCGTCGCGTCAATGTCCTCCTGTCGCGTCTGTGAGGTCAAGTTGCATTCGCTCACCACCAGTGATATCCTCTGCTCCGTGTCTGTGCCGCCCCTTGTGGATGATCGCATAGCCCAGCCTGGGTTGAAATCAATCCAAATTTATTAGATCAGGTGTTTGGCCTAAACTGAATGTTCCCTCCAATTCATGCAACAGTATATATATAAATCCATTTAGGAGGCTAAACTTCTGCGGCCGGCCACAGTCGGCCGTCTGTTCCAGAGCTAAGCGTCTGATGCTGGTAAGCGGTGCGGAAATGCCTGTGGTCAGGCTCACCATTAATGCCGCAAAACACCTGAGTTCAAGTTTGTGTCAGAAATCCCTTCGTTATCTCATGGACTTGGACGTTAGGAGCATGTGAACGTATGATGTGTAGGCATGCAACTGACATGTTGGAAAAGGCAAAGTACTAAAAAAAAACACTTCATACATAGGCACATACAGGTCTTCATAAGGTTTTCACACAACTGTGTAGCATCCGTTGACGTTTCTCACAACAAACCCATGCGGCCGTGCAGCTGTTTCTAGGTCTTGGTATTTCTAAAATAAAATGTATATATATATGTATCGTATTATGTTTCACCCACTGCCTCAAGTATAGCTTCACCTCTTGGTTTCGAACGTTGGGTCCCTCCAACACGCCCGAAAGGAGGCGTCAAGATTCAAGGCGCCAGCGGCGCACCAGTGTAGTTGCCGAAGATGTTCACGTTGAACCTGAACTCTTTGGAGAACGATGTCGTCGGGCAGATGCTGAGCGTTCGAACGTGCAAAATCTGAGTGAAATCCTGTGATTCGGACGATTGAACATGCCAATCGAAAGTTTCGAAGCGTATCTAGACAACGCTCAATATGTATTGGAGCAAGTGAAGCGGTGCTGCAAAGGGTTGGAAACTTATGGAAAATGCATGTAAATTGATGGATCAACGCTCTCCTTTAACGTCAGGGTGAAGCTTGAAGCCGCATTGAGAATGCATGCAGACAAGCCCACCCCCTTACCAGGGCATCGAGCCAAAACATCCAAAAGCAATCCTCGCGCGTCAATACCACGAAACGTCACATCCGAATCGTCTGTGTGCACATCCAGGTGTGTATCTTCTCCACCTGAGTGATTCAAAAAGCTAAGCATCAATCGAAACGAAAAGGGAGAGGGTCAATTGGTTCCGCAGATTCTCTGCATGTCTCCACTGCAATCCTTGGACTCATCTTACACTTGAGCTCTTGTTCATGTGCCAATGCAGCTCCTGGCGTTGCCAAATCTATGGCACTCTGAGCACCAGGCCTTTGTACCTGCCAGGGACGCAGACAAGAAAGAATCGGATCAAAATCAACTAGAAACCAAAAGATCTCTCGGCATGTCATACTGAGTCAGCATCGCAATCTCAGGTTTTAGCAGCCACAAGAAGACACAAGTCATCTCTGCACACATACACACATTCACACACACGGCACCCAAGCGTTCAACCAAGAGAGTCTGCATGGAGTGTAGGTGGATTGCCCGGTGAAACTTAGTTTCTGATTCAAGGCCAAAACATTTGGAATAATGCTAGTCCTCAGGCCTGATGGTGAAGGAATGGTGGGACTCCAGCTCACTTCCTGAAAGCTTCGGCACTTCTGGAGAAACAAAAGCAACTGAATATCATTACTCAAGCCATTCCTGAAGCCGAATGCCCAATCCGAAGTCCTGTCAACTTTGGCGATGACCTCCTGAGGTGATCTACTTAGATTCTGGCCTATGGGCATTCAAATGCTCCAGTCTGGCCAATTTGACGTCCAGTGTCCACTGTCCTGCTCCCGCCTTCCAAAGGAAAAAGCACCGAAGCCAGCGGTTGAATCAACGCATCTTGGAGGTCAAAGATCATCGGCTCCAAACCTCGGCAACCATTCCACACCCGGCAAACTGCGGGAAGAAGGTAGACGGCAGACCGTTCCATGGCCGTTCCGCTTCGCCCGTTCCGTGGCTTTCTTGTGCTTCGGTCTCGAAACCGCTTGTTTGGAGACCACAGAACATCACAACATCAAGCTGAAAAACACAAGCTTTGGTGCCGACCTGCAAGCCCCAAGGGACATGGAAAGTTGAATAAATGTGCAGCTCTGGATGGATATAGCCCCATCGTCCTTCGGCAGCCCACAATCATCCAAGACACCGATCTCGTTGAGGATGATGCCTGAAGAGGTCTGGAAAGACCCAACTGAGGAAAGTTGGAGAATCAATGGGTATGCTCGCATTGCTGAGTGATACGGTGTGTCTTTGAAAACAAGAAAGCTTTCCCCTGAAAGCAGCAGAATCATGTAATGAAGTGAATGCTAGAGTACTACAGCTTGCTTCCGGCAGGTCCAAAGGCTTTCAGCAGTTCCACCATGGACAATCCGTTAGATCCAAACATCTGGCAAGCATATGCCCGCTCATCATTCACATGTCAAATACGTCTGGTCAGATCCTCCCAAACTGAAAGCATCAAAGGGTTTTGATGGTCCCTACAAACTTGCGCCTGAACAACCACTCTCTATTGCCCAACAACCCTTTGTAGCAACTGGGTCTGCCTGAGTCCGCCAACCCCAAGAAAACTGAAACAAAGAAACCGTAGTTGTTCATGGAGTTCGGCCGCCGTGCCGGCAGCTTGGAGCCATAAAAGTTCCGGATCCTCGGTCACCCATCGCAGCCAAGCCATTCTATCGGACGAGGATCAGAAGGATTTTGGAACAATAGACTGTGTGACACGACGATCATGAGAGAAAAGGATTGCAAAGGACTTTGGATTGTCCAATGTGAGGTGAGCTGCTGTCGATGGAGATCAGCTCTGTTTTCCTGTGGGCCCTTCACCTGCATTTTCTTGAAGATCCTATGCCCTGTGCACAGATCAGCGCTACCGCTCAGGAGCTGAGCACCCCAAGAAAACAAATTGATGTTGGACGACTGTTGCAAGCAACGTCGGCCTCACCGCTTATCTTTCGGTGCCAAGATGCTCCTCCATCAGCAAAGTGCAGAACTCCAGTGTGAACACTGGAAAGCTAAAAACCTGAGCAAACACAAAACCTCTTCCCCTATTGCGTTCATCACCAAGCAACATCCTTCCCAGTTCTTAGGCTGTAGACAGGAGGATAGAAACAAATCAAGCGGGCTTAACTATACCCATGACCTCTTGACTTTCCCGCCAGAATAGCCTTCCCACGCCTCACAATTAAACGATAGGACAGGCGGCTAGGTCAGGGATAATCTCTTTGATCAATCCAGAGGCAAGCAGTTGTTTTTTGGCTTCGGCCCTGCTATATCTTGTGCCGTTGAAAACCTTGAAGATCAGCTTGAAGATCCTGGCAAGTTGTGCGCAACAGCTTCTGAATTCAATTGCTGTCGCTTTCTGGAATCCTGTCAGGCCGTTCGTCCGTCTCGTTTTCAATTCAATCACAGATGTGTTCGAACCTGCTTTGGGTGCCAAAAGTCGGTGAACGTCGTAGCGACACCAAGACCTGGAAAACGAATCATATGAGGTCCAGTCTGCCGATCCTGGGATCAATCGCATCCTCCAGCTTTAGGCCATTTGCCCAGAAGAGTTCTTCGTGTTTTCGGCCATACGCGGCGTACTTCACCACTGTACTTGCATCCTCCTGAAGGAGCATGCGGCGCATGCCATGCGCAAACCCTTCACCGTGGCTTCCTCAATCTGTGAGCCTTTGCTGAGGTCATGTTGCTCGACTGATAGAAAGCCAGGAATCAGATCAATTGAACAAATACATCCAAACCAATTTGTCAAATCCTGGATGTCAACCTCTGAGCCGTTACATTCTACATACATAATACCCTGCCCTGCATAAGCGTGCCAACCGGTTAAGCAATAGAAGCAATAGTAGTGGTTCCAAGTCTCAGCCCGACCCAGACCCACCTCGAAGGTGGAGGCTGTCCGCTGCCACGCCGTTTGATCCGACGGATGCAGTGCGCCGCCCAATGATCGATGCAGTTGAGAGAGCAACCCATGCAAGTCCTGAGTAGCTGGTTGATGTCTGAGAACTGAAGTGCTGGCGACAAAAGTAGCTCTTTACCCTAAGTTGGAGGTCAAGGCTGTTGGGGGGGAAGCCATCGCTATTAGGTTGGAGGCCATCGTTCATTAGGTTGGTGGCCATTGCTATTATAAAATATACCTTCCTTTTTTTTGTTGGCGGCAGCAAGAAAAGCATGTCACGGGACCCTGCCAGGCCATGTACACTCCATGCCTCACATCAACGCAATGTTCAGCACCCAGCACAAGAACGGCTTCAATGGGCTTTGGGTTGTCCCTGAAAACTAAACATGATTCTTAGGGTAAACACCAATGGCCGTGCCTCCCACATCAGCTGTGCCAGGTATCATATCGACCTTTTTGAACCTCTTGTGGGCACCTGGTCTCGCAGCTACCTGGGCTGCTTTCGCAACTGTAGCCAGGCTCGGCTCCTTGGAGCATGTGCAACCGCAAGTTGGCCAAAGCTCCGGGTGCAGCCGACATACAACAGCTAACTTAAGTTTCCCCAAACATCTACTGTAGGAATCAAATGAATAGTGCGAGCGCTTCTTCAAGGAAGGTCCCCCCGCTCCTTGAAGAAGCATGATCTATCTTGCGTCCATACTAGTAGCTCAAGTAAGGTGCTGGCTACCTAGCTTCACCTCTACTAGCGGCCTACCCCCGCGAGCTAAAGAAACATTCTGGTGAAGACTGACGTTTACTCTTTCGGTTTGGAGAATGGAACTGTAGCTCAAATCGACCTCACACTGTCACCAGGTTGCCCGCGACGTGCCAGTTGAAATGGAAAGGCAAGATCTGTGGAGTCTTCCCAGACTACGTACCACACCAGAACGATTTCAAGCAGCCCCGACCATCCTCCGTGTTCAAGCCTCCGTTCATCAAGCCGTCACCATTGCAGTCGCAGAAACCAGAGTTCCCCAGTGGCACATTCTCACCGCACAGTCGATCCTTTTCTGGTTCCCGATCTCCCGTGGCATTGCAGCCGCCTGTCTGGCGCCACATGCAGGTGATGGGGCCTGGCAGCGCAGGTGGCCCCGGGCAGCAAGAATGAAGTGGTATCAATCGTTCGAAAAAACTTCAAACTGCACGGCTTTCTAGACCTGGAGTGTGCTGGCAAAGGGGATGATATGAGGTCTTGTCCAACATGTGGATTCCAAAAGACCGGTCGCATCCTTTATGTAAAAAAGTAGATTGAGAAATGACATTCCTTTCATGTAAATGGTGTTCAAAGCCTGTAAAGTGAATCTTGTGTGGATGAGTTCTATCGCCAAGCAACCAACGGCTTCCTGCAGGCGTGCCAGCAGCTTGCTGCTCGCCTCATGAACATGATCGCTCTTGTCTTCATCAGGTGGCTTGACGTAGAGGCTCCTTTGCTTCAGCTGAGAATCTCCTACCCAGCCTACCTCAAAGTTCAACAGCATCGCACTCGGATACTGTTTGCTGTTTGCAGGTCATTTTTCGACACCGAACCATTAAAATGAACCACCGCCCAAGGGCATGTGAGACCAAACCCATAGACGTACAAAGGGTGGATCCTCTTTGCTGGACACTGGCTAACTATGCAAGCGTTACCCAGCCAGACGCCGGGCTTGAGTGACAACCAAGTGCATTGAATGCAACAAAACCTTTCTCCAAACGTCTCTTGGCTTGGTGAGGAAAGACTCCAGAACCAGACATCTTGGTCATTGAGATAGCGCCATGAGTGTCCAATGCATCTGTAGAGTAATTAACAGGGTCAAAAGCGTCCCAGGTCTGAAACAGCTAAAGGTGCAATTACAGCTACTAATGTCAGCTCACCAGTAACTCGCAGTGACAGCAGGACTGGCTTCGGGTTCAAGCCATTGACCTGAGCAGCATCAACGAGCTGGTGTTTCCGAGAATAATCCCTGTGGTCTGCGAAACACTCTCCACATGAAGAGCATCAGAAGCATGTGAGTGTTGCGACACTGGCAACGTTGCCAAGCTCAAGCTCAAGCTCAATCTCTGTGACATAGGGGCCCCACATGTAGCAACATTCTGCCTGCCGGCATTTGCATCGAAATTCAGCTCCACACCAACCAGCTTTGCTTTCATCTCACCAACGACATCCCTGTGAGGCGATGCAATGATGTCATACTGTGTGTATACCTATTGATTCTTTTTGAAACAAGAAGCAGCTTTGAACATCAAAATTTCACAGCCACGGCCCGAGACGGAGAAGTACCTTCGCAAAAATCTCCTCCTCCCCTCAAACATGGATCGAAACCCAGCCACTCTGGGAAGAGTCATTTACCTCCTTGCCATAGCATCATCCAAGACCCCCATGCGGAATGCACAGGATGAGCGCATCCCCTCAAACAAAGAGACGCCAGAGACCTTCACCGTCACTTCTGCTCCAACAGTCTCCAAACTGACCGCCAGAAGCGTATGGTCAGCCAAGCTAGCAAACTTCAATTGGTCCTCCTGTAAGGGATTGAAATCCCTATCCCTGCCAGGTAGTGCCAGGAGATTCTCAGCTCAGACCGTCCTCACACGCACTGGACTCGTCTTCAGTACCCCAGTTATTCCTCCTTCTTTTCTATCGTCAGTTGCAAAGGTCTCGTCAGTTAGTCAGTTGCTGATGGAGTTCGACAAGCTAACCAGCTCGTGTGATGACCGGAACTGTTTGAAGATCGTTCAAGAGCCGAGGAGAGACGATTGACAGCCTCGATCAAAGCTGCAATGTCTTCTCGAAAAACAGGACTGCTCATTCACTGTAGGCTGCAAGCCGAGCTCTTTTGCAGGCACTAGTCACTAGGAGAGGCCCTGAAGCTTTGGAAAGCTGAAAAGGCAAAGATCCAAGCAAGACACAGGCTAACAGGAAGCCCAAAGCCAGGCCTGAAGAGGGCAGGAAAGACGAGAAGACACGTCAGAGAGGGCCGAAAAAGACTCGACAACTCTTGACAAACCTCTCCAGCATGTGATGAGCATGAAAAGGACATAATCAATCCATATTTATAATGTATATTCATATGAACATGTATGTATATATATATATATATTGGTCATCTAATCTCAGTCAACCAGTGAAATGTCGTAGTTGCAAAGGTTATTGAGCCCAATTATAGTTGGTGGTGTATCATTATTGGATTTATCTTGTTGGATCTAGTCCATTACCATTGAGCTTAGAATTGGATTCTTGTTAATATGAATATCTGTGACTCACGGTGGTTGTTTTAAGTAGGAGATATCTCCTGCTTATTAATCCTTCGCCGCCTACTCATCGCACCTCAGTTCTTCATCTCCCAATCTTCTCTATTTGCGATGGCCTCCACCTAATAGCGATGGCCTCCAACTCCAACCTAGTAGCTTCTTGTTACTAGTAGGATGGCCTCCAACCTACTTGCGATGGCCTCCACCTAATAGCGATGAGAGATCATTCCCCTCATCAAACATGACCCGAAGCTCCTGAGCTGCCCGGTGAAGCGGATGCTTGGCAAGCTTTGCGGCCAGCTGGTGGGGAAGACGAGGACTACACGATGATGCTTGCCTTGGGCACTCCAGCGAATTCAGGTTGAAATGGTCTCGAATGGTTCGAGAGCAGGAAAGGGAATCACACAGCTGAGAGGCCTCCTCCCCTCGCTTTCTTCTGTTCCACTCACAGCCAGCACAGCCTTGGTGCCAAGCAGCGGAAGGCTGGAGGTGCTTCCTTTGGTGCTTCGAGGTCAACCTTCAGCCGCCAAGGGCCACCTGAACAGGCAAATAAAGACGGGAAGGGTTGCATTCGATGAAAAGAAACCAAAAAATGGAAACTAGATTTCCTGAGTGGCATCTTGCTCACGACAGGCCAAACCACGAACATGCAATCCCATCTCACAGGATGGCCTGGCGATGCAACTTCGCATGCCAAGCTCTGCCACCTGGGAAATGAGTTGAGTCAGATTGGATCGGTCTTTGTTGGCAGCATGTTTAAAGCCACGAAACAGTGTCAATGGACGACCAAACAAAAAATGGAACGATGATCGCAGTGTTTACATGCCCAGCAAGCCACAACGAGCTTGTGTGGTTGTGGTCTCTCTGAAGTAGGCGACGTTTCTTACCTCGATGCAGGAATGATGTGCAACTCCACGCGCCAGTCGAAAAGAATCTGCGTCTTGCAAAGGAGAAGCTATATATACTATATATAACTGTTATATAGTGCATGACGCTGCATTTTTCTTGTGACTCAGCCTAGTAGCGCTTTGCGCATGGATGCATGGAACATGAACTTCTGGGCCCCCCCCCTTTTTCTGCGACACTTCCAACACCTTCAGCAGTGCTTGGGGGAGAAGAGTCGGGGAAAATGACAAACATTCAACTTCCAGCATCTTCAACATTGGCAAACACCGAACACCGTTTCGGCAAGTCACTGATGGTTTGTCGGGCCTCATAAAGGTCCCCTAACTTCGCCACAAAGGAAGGCAAGTTGGATCGAAGGGCATTCACCTCTCTGCACAACTGGATCCAGCCCTTTGTGGTTCCATCTGGCTGCTCTACCAGCACAGCTGGCTCTATGGTCTTTTCGCCAGACACCAAGAATGAAAAGAGCAGGAACAGCAGCTTCCATCTTGGAAATGCTCCGACCATGGCAAGAGATGCATGTCCCGGGCTCCTTCGTATTCTATATGACTTGACAATGAACCCCCTAAAGCTTCCCAATTGTAGGAACCAATCTGCTGTGGAGATGTTTGCACTATGCGCCATTGGTCCACCAACTTGAGCTCCAACCTCCTGGAGGGTCCCATGCGGCCCTACGTTTTTCTGGACCCTGTTCGATGGGGCGCTGCCAGCTGCGACTTGTCGAGTCAGGTCGCCTCCAAGGATCCCACGTACCCACCACACACGCTACAGTCAGGGTGCTGGCATCGCAAATAGTAGCAGTAGAACGCTACCAGTAACAAAGGACATTGCTACTAGGAGTAGTAGAATATAGTAGAATGCTACTAGTAGTACCATGTGGTACCTACACACCTTTCAAAGGCTTTCAGTCATGGCCACCATTCGCCTCCTTTGTAGCCAAGAAGAAGCTGCGTTCGTTCGGTCATCGTCGAACCGACGCCCAGGGGATTCCCATCAGGAATTGTCCGTAGAAAAATGAGTCATTTGAGTCAATTGAAATGATTGTTCCTACTCATTTGATTTTTTTTGACTTGTTCTATTTATTCAAATCTCAAGACTTGGTGTGCAATTGTGCTGGTGGGCCAGCTCTTTTCAATGCCTTCCACACCAAATGCAAAACGACATGACGTCAGTTCCACGCGTCGAAAAACAGCCCGTCTCCAACTGGGCTCCAAACCTTCGGGTTTTTGCCATTCAGCTGCAGTGCCTTTTGTTGGCGCTTTGACATCATTTGGCTCACAGGGCACTGCTAATGGGTACCAGTAAAAGGTTATCACCTCTAAGCTGGGTTCCAGATCAAGCTAGTGGTGGATCTTGGAGAAAATCTCAGCTTTTTGCCAGTGTTTCTCCAAAGGGAAGGCAAATGGATCAGCCATACATCTACCTGAAATGGCCACAAAACATGCTAAAAACCCATCGTTTCACGAATCTGCCCAACATCACAACATCACAAGTGATCATGACTTTGTAGCCCACGTTCCTATGACATGCAGATTGACCATGATTGACCCACGTTCCTTCACGGAGACCACCTCTCTCAGGCCCCCCTCCTCATCGCAATCCAATTCGGCTGAGGACCATCGCTGCATTCTCAAGCGGGCGAAGGCCTTATATAGATGAATCCAAGAGCAAAGCAGCTGTCTTTTTTAAAGGGTGGGGGCCGACCTCTTACTTAGCTATATAAGCAGGCGGCGGAGGGGAGCTTCCTGGAAGAAGCCTGAGCTATCCTGCGTCCAGTAGCTAGTAGCGGCCTAATTCATTTGAGTGACGGTCAACACTTTTTGTGGAGTTGCAGGTCACTTGGTGAGTGTATTATCGCTTTTCATGTCCGCCATGTTGTTGTTTCTGGTGAGTGTGTTATCGTTTTTGAGCGAAACATGAATTTTGAAATCCCATGACCACTCACTGACCATTGGTGACGTTCATTAATTTTGAGCCTAGCTCATTTGCTTCCAAGAGCATGAGAGTTTCAACGATGTGCTCTTACACCCTCTTGATACCAATAATGTTCATCAGTAGGAGTGCTGAGCAAAGAGCATTGTTTTTGGCAAATGTTAAAGTAAGCAGTAAGCAGCGTGTCTAGACCACATGTGTCTTCATGAATGTCCCACTGATTACTTAGGCAGCTGCCCGATTGGAGTGCAGGATACCCCGCAAGGTGTCTGGAGCCTCACCAAGCACGAATGCGTCTTTTCAAAAGGAAACGAATTTCCTCCTGGCCCATTTGGCCAATCCATCAGCTTCAATTTTGTCCATGAGGGCCACACGCTGACTTTGCCAGACTCTTCCACCAGCCAAATGGCCTTGGAGAACCACCTGCATCGCTTGGAAAGTGCCATATGATCCACAATGTGGAGAGGAGGGGGAGAGGGAGGGAGGGGGAGGGAGGGAGGGAGGGAGCGAGAGAGAGAGAGAGAGAAGAAAGAAAGAAAGAAAGAAAGTGCAAAATGTGACCACACTTCTGGTGATGGGTGACATAATATTCATACGTCAATATTTTGTTGCCAATACTCTTATCTTCAGCTGTTACATGAATTCGTAGCACAATCATAGTGCAAAAGACATTGCAAATACTGATTGATTGCTGCACATCAAAACAATAGGAATGATGTTTGAGGCAAATATGTCAGCGGGATTCTCTGGGAAGCCACCCTTTCGACCATCTGCGAATGCTTGAAAGAGCAAAACATTGCCTGTCTGAGTGCGATTTCTAAGGACCCACGTCGCATATCAGGCGCGCATGTCTGCGCCTTTCACACTCCTGGATTTTGCCTCGGCACGCAGGTCGCTTGTGCAACGAAATGTCATTAGAAGCGAGAGGGAGGGAGAGTGTGTGTGTGTGTCTGCCAGTGTTGTATGCGTATTGATTCTATCATTCAACCAAAAGGAAAGAACAATGCGCCTTGCACAGTCGACTGCAAGATTCTTCTGCTAACACACTTATGGATATGCGTACTGACTTGATAGCGGTGCCACACGC